TAAGAATAATAATTATTATTATACAAGATTTATATAGCGGCAACAGTTTGCGCAGCGCTTTACAATATAAGGAAGACATTACAATACAATTCAAGACAAGATGATAAGGAGGGCCCTGCCCGTAACGGCTTACAATCTAAAAGGGAATAATAATAATAATTTGTTACTCCACATTGTAGGATACCCCAGTAGGGGAGGTATTAAAACACCACACAGTATGTTGATCCAGGATGTGAGATACGTATTAGAGCCACCATGTACTGTTCTGTTTAAATTGGCACACGCATTCATTTTTTTTCCTTCCTGGATCAAATGTTTCCCTGGATCAGTGGTGCTTTAATACATGGAGGTGAACCCCTAAATGTTTTATTGGGAACATTACCTGGCCACCTCTTTTGCAACCCTCTCTAAGTCTTGCAATGGTGCATGTTACAAAAATAGTCTCCATATACGAATAAAAATGTAAACTCCATTATTAGAAAACATCTCTCAAATCCCTTTTTTTGTATAAGACTTTAAAAGGAGATCTTGTCTAGAGAAGCAGTCAATGGTACAGGATGTTGGACAGACGTCCTCAAGAATATGTATGTATCTGCTAGGCAAGCAATATTGGAGTGCACTAATAAGTAATCCATTTTTGGAAACTGAAGAATGATAAAACTGCAGGAAACATTCTTATCGTCAATGCCGGGAACTTCAATGCCGCAATGACATCACATGATCCCCAGGGATTATAGGGTTACAGGACCCTATGTGGTTTGGTGCCTCTATGCAGATACATTCCATTCAAGCCCACCATTGAAGATTATTACGCACTTTTGTACTACTAAACAGTCCTCACGCAACTTCAGATGGGCACATTTGCATCAACCTTTATCACAAATAGATCCTCAGTTAAATGATTTCCTTTTTTTTTTACTTTAGAAAAAAAAAGAGACTTCTAGAGACTATACTATGTAGCTACAATGAGGGGGAGTCATGGGACCAGGAGCTAGGTACTCAGAATTCTGAAGCAGTGCTTTACATTAAACTGCAACTAAAGCCCAAACTTTTTTTTTTTAGTTTTCAATAGAGCAGAGAGGGGTTAGGACACTTGTCAGGTTGTTATTGCTGTTTGTATCCCCGTTGGGGAGATTTACCACCCTCTTTTTGGGAAGGAAAATCCCAAATTTGTGTCATTAGAACAGAAACGGATGGGCAATCTTCCAATGTTGAAACTAGTTCTGTTGACCTACAGATTTCTGCCTCTTTGGAGAGATTTCCTCTCCCTTCCTGTTGTGGCTATCAGACAGGAAATGAATGGAAATTTCCCCAGATGGCAAAAAAGCTGTCTTACTCTATGCAAAACTACAAAAGAGAGTTTTAGCTCCAGTGTTATCTGAAGTGGAGAAGCACTTTAAATTAAGCAGGTTTTCATTAAATATGAAACCTCATGACAGGAATGTGAAACTCATTTGAAATATTGGAAAGAGTTATATTCGGTCATTTACATTTTTCTACAATTAGAATGCATTCCTATGTGCAGTTTTCTAGCAAACAACGAAATATCTGCACTGAGATCTTGTATGAAGTGTCCAATAAGATCTCTGCCCCATGGAATGCTTTGTCCATGACTAATTGTAATCTGGAATATTCCACAATTAATCCAGGATGTGGACAAAGACCATTTATAGAGCTGGTCTGAAGCCGATCTCAGTAGCATGCATTTTTTTTGAGTTCAATACTCAGGCTGGACGACGAACTCAGGCTGGACGACATCCAGGAGGTCTAAGAAAGACTCGATGATACTGTTAATCATAGACCCCAATAACCCATTTTGCTTGAAATGGTCAAAAAAGATGCTCTTCGTTCAGTATAAACCTGACACATTCCACTCAAAACTCCAAAAATAGACTGGACAAAATTATTGGCACCCCCAATTAATATTTGGTAGCACAGCCCTTGGAAAAAATAACTGAAATCAATGGCTTCCTGTACCCATCAATGAGTTTCTTACACCTCTCTGCAGAGATTTTGGAGCACTCTTCTTTCACCAACTGCTCCGGGTCTCTCAGATTGGAAGGGTTCCTTTTCTCCTGTTTTGAGATCTCTCCACAGGTGCACTATGGGATTCAGATCTGGACTCATTGTTGGCCAGTCCAGTACTCTCCAGCACTTTGAAACCATTTCTGGGTGCTTTTTGACGTGTGCTTTGGGTCATTGTCCTGCTGTAAGACCTATGAACTCTGACGGAGACCCAACTTTCTGACATTGGGCCCGACATTGCACCCCAGAATTCTTTGGCAATCTTCAGATTTCATAATGCCATGCACACAGTCAAGACATCCAGTACCTGAAGCAGCAAAGCAACCCCAAAACATCAGTGAACCTCCACCATGTTTGACTGTAGGGACTGTGTTTTTTTCTTTAAGGGCTCAATTTCTTTTTCTGAAAACAGTACAATGATGGGCTGCACCAAAAAGCTGTCATTTTTTATTTTGCAGGATTTTGTCTCTTTCAGGTAAGTTTTGGCAAACTCCAATCTTGTTTTTTTTATGTTTCTGTGTCAGCAGTGTGGTCCTCCTGGGTCTCCTACCATAGTGTCCTTTTCATTCACATGGTGATGTATGGTGTGAGCTGATACAGTTGTACCCTGTGCTCGAAAGTCAGCTTGAATTTGTCTGGAAGTTGATGGAGGGTCTTTATCCACCATTCCAACAAGTCTTCATTGCAATCTTTGATCAATTGTTCTCTTTCGTCCAAGTCCAGGGAGATTAGCTACAGTGCCATGGGCTGTAAACTTCTTGACAATGTTGCGCACAGTGGACACAGGAACATTAAGATCTCTGGAGATGGACTTGTAACCTGGAGATGTCTATGCTTTTCCACAATTTGTGTTCTCCAATCCTAAGACAATTATTTGCTGCTCTTTCTCTTGTCCATGTTCCGTGTGGCACACAGAGACACACAACAGAAAGGTTGAGTCAATTTTTCACCATTTTAACTGGTTGCCGGTGTGATTTCTATATTGTCAGCACCTGGTTATTGATACAGGTGAGTTTAATTACAAATTACAGGAGCATCACAAACTTGGAATGCAATTATTTCTTGCCATTTGGAGAAGCTGCCAATAAGTTTTGTCCAGTCCATTTTTGGAATTTTGCGTGGAATGTGTCAGGTTTGGCTTTTTTTTTCTCTCAACTTTTTTGTGTCATACCAATACAAACAATAGAAATAAACATGAGAATGCTGAAACATTTTAATTGGTGCATTATCTGTCAGGGGACCAGGGGCGTCACCACTCCTCAGGGCCAGCAGGTACGGTACTGGGCACGGGTCCTCCTTCGGCCTGGCAGAACTCCTGGCGCCTGCGCCCATTTAGGGTCGTCAGGTGTGAGCCTTGCTGGGGGAGGTTCCCGGCTCACGCCTTCCATCTTCTCGCCCTGCCATTGGTTCCCGGGGAGGGAAGCCTCCTGGTTGCCTTGGCAACAAGGGGGTGGTCTTGCTCTCACTGGCTATAAAATCCTGGCCTGAGCCCTGGCTTGTTGCTGAGTTATTCCACCTTATGATGTGATCACCTAGCCCCTCTGTTGTATCGTGTTGTTACCTGTTACCCCCCATTCGTTTGAACTTCCTGATTACCGAACCCGTGGACTGTCTATCGCCTCTGAACCATTGCTGCCTGTCTCGACCCGGACTGGACTTTGACTACTCTCTTGGATTGCCCCTATTTGTACTTAGCTTTCGGACTCATCGACCGCTTCCTGCTAGTGGGTTCCCCACCACGCCGCCAGCCCACTGGTATGTCTGACATTATCTGACAGAAATGCAGGGGTGCCGATATTTTTGGCCATGACTGTATATATATGGAAAGGGGGAGCGTTCTTTAGTCTTACCACACCTCCTTTCCTAGGGTGACAACAATGCTCCATAGATGCAGTAGGGTGAGTGAGCATTGTCAACCTAGGACAGAAGGTGTCGGGCAGGATCACCAGTTGAAAATAAAAGAAAAAAAGCCTAAAAGAATAGAAAACGAATGCCGCCACCCTATCTAAGCCCTTGTAAGCTGCAATATATTCAAGATTTCTTCCTGGCCTTGGCTAAACTTTCAGTGATGAGATCTGAAGGGACCAAAAAATTGCAATCACATGGTTTTAAAAAAATGATGGCTTTGGCACGTACTACATGTGTTATAGCTTAGTGAATTGAGCCAATGGAATGTATGTATAAAGAGTGTCTATGAGGAAAGTGTCTGAACAATTATACCCCAAATGTTATTTCTGTACAGCTGGCTGGAAAACAAAACTAACGATATGGATTTACTGTTGACATAATGGAGATTTAAGCATTTCTTTCATGTCTATGCAAATGAGTCTTTCCAAATCGAGAAAATATTTTTGTATAATTACCATTACAAGAGAAAAAAACAGCGGCTTTGTGCTGAGGAAGCCCAGAAGGCTGGAACACTAGTGACCCAGGGTGTTGGGAGGCAGTAAAGCTCATGTGATGCTTTAAAGAATCACATGGGTTCACTTGAAGTCCTGCCATAGTAATATGGCAATTTCTCGGAATAGGTTTTCCAATTTACAGGAAATACTGGCTGGAGTGCCCCTACTTTTCTTTGATCCCGACTGAACATGCAGCAAATAAAAGTAATTCACCGGCACACACTTGAAGGGTGAACATGCAGGAGACACACATATGCAATGGTTTCTAGATGAAGTTGGCCAAAAATTGTTCCACCAGGAGAAGATCTGTTGGTTTGAAGGCTAAGGTGAATAAAATGACTAAATATGTTCAATATTAGTAACATTCTCATTTCAATGTCAATAATGCTCATTTTTAAGGTTATAATAAGAAGTTCCTCATTTCTGGAGCCAGAAAATTTCTAGAAAAATAATGTTGTCTCATAGATGGCCAAAGACCGGGCAGATTTCAGGTTATAATGTCTTTTTCATTTGCACATACCATGCTTTGTACCAGAATCATCATTTACATCAAATCTATGAAGTGAAACTTACCCGGAGAGGTATATGCGGATCGTATTGTAATACACATCCGAATCCACATAATCTACAGGAGAACAATTGAGAGAAGAGTGACCGGCCGGTAGAATGTAAGGACATTAATCCTACTGGTTAGGCCATTTCACACCTCGGTGTTTTAGAGTTGCTTGTGTTACCCCTCATCCCTATGGAAGGTGCATTTTACTGCAGCAAGAAGCAGCAAGCAGGACATTTTTCTAATACATCATACCAAACCGTAGAGGTGGGAAATGACCTTTAGAGGACATGAAGGTTACTTCAGGCAGCATACGATGGGCACTTTGTAATTTTTGTTGTAAGAGATTACTGTATATTTCACACAAATTGTCAGATGAGAGTCAGGGAAAACAAATTAACATGTCACATGCCGCAAGTCACATCCATGTATAATCTTTAAATGAACATGGTATATATGTAATGGGGCATTTTATGGCATGCAGCAATTTACGACACCAAGATTTATAAATTATAATACACTTTATTCAAAAATATTACAGTAGAACAAGTCTCTCACTATCAGAAAGATTAAAAAAAACAATTTCCAAAGATACATCAAGGAAAAGGGGCTGGTGTATAGAGCGTCCATCCAGCATGTAGCTGGGCGAATGCCATTTGCACACCTTTATGGCCACTAGTTGGAGCCGAGGAGCATAGGAATTACCAATGCTCCTCAGCTCCATCTAGCGGCAAAAATGTCATGCGAACGCCATTCACCCAGCTGTACGTTGGGCGGAAGTTTTAAACATCAGCTACTCAGAACTACTCAGTTCTAGGTGGAACTCGATGGACATGTGTCTTTTTTCAACCTGACTAACTATGTAACTATGTAAGTGTCCAATGTAATATAATGGAGATATAATATAAATACTGAAAATGTTGATTTTGTATCCATCCAACATGGAGGAGGGCTGGGGTGCTAGTTGTGCATGTGGTGCACGTTTTGGTGGGGGGGGGGGGGCTTTTCGTGGTCAATGTCCCGGGAAGGGATGCACGGTGTCCCACTTAGCTCGGTGACATCATTGGTTCCCAGGAGCTGGTTGCTCAGCTCCTGACAACCAGTGACATCAGAGAGCTGGGCGGGACGCCCGGCCAGAGCATCACGGTTTGCTAAGAGCAGTTCACAACCTGGGATGCTCTGGCCAGAAAGGTGGCAACCGGCACACCTGCCAACCCCCCATGTGACCCAAAGAGATGCCACCTGTGGCAACCACCTCAGGCTGCCGATTTATAGGGGCGGCCCCGGCATGTACTGTAAGTGATGAAGAGAGATATCATCATAATGTGATGTTGAATTCTTGTTAATAGTTTGTCTCTACCATTTCAGTAATGCCTCCGGCTCCTACAGGAAGTGGGCACAAAGTCTACAAAACGCATCAAGTGCAAATTAGTTCCCCCCCCCCCCCTACATGTTGAGATTTTGATCATATGTTATTATGACATATATGTTTGTAAATCTGTTGATGAGAGCGATGGGTGGACAATGCCAACTTTGCAGCCCATTGAAGCTGATCAAGCACAGACTGTGCTTGATCAGCTTCTTATCTCAGCTCTGTGGCTGGGGAATGACAGCTCAGAAACCGTAAGTGAAGAAATCATTGTCACTTCCGGCTTCATTCTCTGGGAAGGAGATCAGCGAATGGATGTACACTGGTCTCTCTCCACTAACACCTGCAATACCAGTTCCGGGCCCACAAGTGAGGCACCGGAGCCCAGGAAACATAGTTGGGGGAGTAGGCTTGCACTTGGCAGAGCCCCTAGAAGTGATCAGATGGCTGTAAATCAATTCCATTGTAAAACTGACCGTCGGCTTTACACATGTAAACAGACTACCGGCTGTGCTGTGACTTTGTCTGGAAGATAGAAAACGACAGCACAACCCCTTTCCTTGAATGTAGCTGACCTACAGAGTTGGGGCACTCATGGTTTTGGAAAACAGTGATGGTGAATTTAGCATAGAGGGTTGGTAAAGGGTACCACGGTACAAATAAATTACATCTGCTTACTAACCATACATGAGATGCAGAGCCTCGCTCATCTGGTTTATGGAGCGTTCCAAGTCTTGAAGAGCTATAAGCAGTCTCTGCTTATCATCAGACTCCAAAGATTTCACTGCCTGAATGACAGCCTGCAAACAAGCCAACAATCATCTCTATCAATTCACTTATCACAATGAATACTGATAATAATGAATGAATTAATAAATGAATGAAACCTTATTAGTTTATTATGTGTGTTATAGATAACCATACTTGTACCAGATATTGAAGGATGGTAAACTTAAAGAGAACCACACACACAATCACAATCACAACGATTCTCACACAAGAATCTAAATATGAGGGGCTGATTTATGAATGATCCACCAAGCGTAGAGCTGGTCAGATGTCGTTCGCACAGCACTAGCACCCCTAGGTGTGGCCTTGAGGAGCACAGGAGATTCCTCTGCTCCTGGTCATCTAGTGGCACTAGTGCTGTGTGAACAACATCCACCCAGCTATACGATGGGTGAAACATTTATAATTCAGACCCTAAAGGTGGCCATACACTTTACTACCTTAGCAAGACTTTTGTCTTGCCAGGGTTGTAAAGTCATTAAAAAAACGTACGATCTGCCCATCTTGGACAGGCAGATCGTACTTGCGATTATCGCAAGCCCGCCCTGCTGAGGGGCGGGCTTCCGATGACCGCAATGCTGAACGGGCAGTGTGCGCTTGCGCATTCCGGCCCGTGCGGCAGTTATCGCACGATCATGCTACAAACCAGCCGAAAATCGTATGATTCTCGGATGGTTTTCGAACATGCTCGAAATACAAAAGTTGTGCGACCATACAGTAGAAACGGTCGCACGCCTTCCATACACTTTGCGATTATCGTACGATCGCGGGATTTCCAGCGATTATCGTACGATAATCGGGCGCAGATCAGAGCTCAGGCGGCATCTCTTTGGGTCACATGTTTGGATTTCTCATGTTTAAGTCGTCAACTGATTCTTTCTTCCATGCAAAACAGCGTGGATGGAGGAATTTTCCTTTCCAACTATTGTAATTAGACAGCCAGCGCCCTCGACTGTCTCAATTCCTAAACAGAGACTGAATCTGATTGAATGCACTCACTGATGAGTTGATCAATTTTCCACCCAGCTCCTTCTATTTTTCAATTGATTTTTGTGGAGACGAGTGGTGCTGACAGGGCCACCCGTGGCTCAGATTCCTGCTGAATCAACCAATTTTCAAGCCATGTATGGCCAGCTTTGAATTATAATCCTTTAGGTCTGTCAATGCTTTTAACACGCTAGCAATTGTTAGACTTCATTTGATCTCTGACCTGACATAAAAAATCCAAAACATGTGGCAATGGGTGGCTGCACGTACTTTCTCTTCCAGGGTGCCTCAAGAGCGCCCCAAAAACCAGGGTGACATCAGGAGGAGTGATCTCCTCCCAACATCTACCTGAAAGTCCCAGCTCTGATCTGATTAGTCAGAGCCAGAGGTAGTGACTTCCACTTGCCAGTTACCACTATATACGCTAGGTGCAGTGGGGGCCGGGGGGGTTTAAACAATGCAAACTACCACCCCTGAATCTGAGAGTGGGGGGGTCAATAATCATTAACACTGCCACCAATGAAGCTGGAGAAAGAGGGGTTATAATTACTGTAATCATAACCCCCCATTTCCCAGCTTCATTGGTGGAAATTAATTTTTTCTCTTGAGGAAGGAGGCCGAAATTATGATCTTCCACACCGGCCCGCTGCATTCAGAAACTCCTGACCTGAGAATGTTAGAAACCTCTAGCAATTATTAATCTTCAGTTTATCCAGCCAAAAATCTATTGGTCAAGTAGGACTATTTTATTCACAAGCTACATTCCCCCTTCCAGGCTAAAAGTGTTGAGAAAGGGTGATCTAGAACCGTGGTTCTCAACTGGTGGGTTGTGACTCAAAAGTGGGTCGCGACCCCATTTTCAGTGGGTTGCAGCCCCATTTTCAGTGGGTCGAGACCGCATGTTCAGTGGGTTGCCGTGTGCCTTCCACTGCTCCTCAGCCTCCCCCTTAGCGCAGCACTGTCAGTTTTCGGGCCTAGCAGCCATTCAAAATATGCTGCCTGGTGCCGAGGATCAGCTTGAGCTGGGGTGGGGGTATGGGTGCGAGGGAGCTCCATCCATACATGCATTGCTTGCAGCTTCCTCGCATGACCCGAGTGACGTCACATTATGGCTCCCATCACCTTCACAGGGAGTGCAAGGGAGCTGTAGAAGCAATGCACATATGAATGGAGCTCCGCCACAGCACAGCAGCCCACACTGAAACCCTAAAATGTTTCTGGGAGTGTGTATATGTGTGTGAGAATGTGTCTGTAGTTGTGTGTCTCTGTCAGTGTTTAAATTGCAAACTACCATGCAATCGCACCTACTGTTCGTTCTGGTGCGGGAGGTGCATTGTGTTGCCATCATTTGATCGATTGCACTGGAAAAATGTTGTGTGTTCCAGTTTGGTGCGACTTGGGTCGCAACTTAATGACCAAGGTCAAATGTGGGTGCTGAGCTTACACAGATTGAGAACCACTGATCTACAGCATATAAAGGTCATCCCTACTTGTAGAAAATAAACATGCTTCCCTATGAGCTCATCTGGTTAAAAAGTTTCAAAAATTGTTGACTATTTGGGTTGTTTGAGAATTTCTGACCAGTGTCTAATAGGCAAGCCCCACTTCTACATGTTGTGTATAATCAAAACATTGCTTTGTGTAAACCACTTTAACCAGTATGACCAATATGGCTGTCATCATCAGTTTGTCCAGCGCTGCAAGGTCTTTGTACCAATAGCACACTAACATTGAGATTAGTCAGCATCGCTTGATGTCATCAACAACTGCATAATGTTTAGAACAAGCTGACTGTATCAATGGTGGCAATAGCAAACCGGAAAAACACAGATAAACTGTATCTAGGCAGCCCACACTTCACAGGCGTCACTGCGAGGCTTTCCCCGGGCTCTATTTACTTAGCACATTTTATTATACTATGATAAGATCTCACAGTCTGGAGATGTTTTAGACTTTTCACTCTTTCCTATCTTCTTACCTTGACTGCGGGAATGGCTGCCGCTTCTACCAGCAGGGTGACCAGTACAAAACCCTGCAGACTGTCACCTCCTGGGAGAGACACAATGGTGGACAGGTTCCTGTGGACAAGACATACATGAGAAACATAAGCTCTGCAGATCAGAGCTCAGGCGGCATCTCTTTGGGTCACGTGGGGGGGGTGGGCGGGGGGGGCAGCAGAGAGAGCAGCATGGACACTCTACTGTACAATATTTGCCGTGTGTCTGCCGCCCCCCATTCTGGCCGGAGCGTCCCAGGTCACTAAGAGCCGAGCGGGGAGATGTGTAAGGGCCATACACATCTCCGCAACAAGTTCTTAGCAACTTGGGACACTCTGGCCAACGTCCCGCTCAGCTCCTGGCTACCAATGAGGTCAGTGAGCCAGGCAGGACTATGGCCAGAGCCGGTGCCACAGTCGGGCAGTGAGATGATCCAGCACCCCAAACCCCCACCCCATTAGCGTGCACCACCAGCACAATGTAAATCCAAAACTTTTTTTCCAGTTTGGGATGGATTAGGGAAGGGGTAGATGGCAGATAATTTATATTAAGGGAGATATGTCATTCCGTTTGTCCTGGTGACCATTTCAGGGGAAATCCTACATTTTAGAGTCATGAGTGCAAGACGTGAGATGGTTCTCTAATGGCGAAAAATGTGCTGGTGACAACGGTCTAAAACAGGGGTGTGGAACCTCCGGCCCTCCAGCTGTGGTTAAAAGCTGTTATAGTTCATAGAAAGCTATAACAATACACATAGTACATATTCTTAAGGGGGACAATACTTATTGTGTAGCATGCTATTGGACGGT